TGGTACTGTGCACATGGTCGGACCCTGAGCTCCATGCAGCTTCCAAGCACCTGCTCTGGGCTTGGGGATAAGAGAGGTGTGTTTGTCTGAAGGACCATCCATGCCCTTTTACATCTCTGCATTGCCCTGGAATTGAATCGGAAGCCTGCCCAGCTGTCTTAGGCAGAGCTGGGCAAGTCTAAAGCCTTCGGAGGAGTAGGAGCAGGGGGGTGAAGTTCTGGCTGTAGGGCTGAGCAAGGAAAGAAGTGTCTGTCTGGCAGCAGGGGAGCACGTAGCAGCTTTGCCAAGCACCTGCTGACCCACGCACATACAACAGGACCTTCCCGTGTTTCTTGTTCCTTTGGGAGTCTGTTCTGATCTGTCAGCACTGCTGCAATAGGCTGGCCCAGCAGCCCAGCAAGTGCAGTCCCAGCTGTAGCACCAGCAGGACACAGGCTGCAGCAGCTTGTGTGCACAGCCCTCAGCGTGTCCCAGTCCCGATAGGGAAAGAGAGATGCCTGCAGACTCAAGGAGGCAGAGTGCAGGTACCAGGCACAGCCTTGGGGCCTCTTGCAAAAGCGCCAGTTGTGCTGGCACGTTTTTGTGGTGTGGAGGAAGCTGAGTTGTCACCAACTCGGCGCTGGTCTCAGCACTCTGGGAGCCACCACTGGGGCACTGCTGATCCCAGCCACGCTCACGCCAGGCCCCCTTGCCTGCTTCCGGCCTTTGCGCCGGGCCGTTCTGTGGATGCGAGGCTCTTGCCACCACAATAACCATCTGCCCTTGCTTGAAACCAAGCAGCTTGCTCCATAGGTACAGCCAGGAACAGGAGGCTGCAGGGCAGTGGAGCGGCAGCAGTTTTCGGCCACGTGAGCGCAACGGTGAAGGACCTTGTCTTTGGGGGAACATGCTGGATTCTCACGGACAGGCAAGAGGCTTATCAGAGAACCCAGAAAAGATCCATGTCTCCCAGTGAGCTCCTTCCTGTCTCTTGGGCGTTAAGGATGATAAGACTGTCCTTTGGTGGACACTGGAAGGAAGCAGAGGTGCGTTTGAAACCCCCTTTGGTGGGGGCCCTTGTGGATGTCAGAGCCTGGCCCGGCCCTGCCACGGAGGCAGAAGGAAAGCTTGTTCTAGGATAGTAATTTGCACAGTTTCCCACACAACCCTTCTTCACCCACACCTCCCCACTCTCTCCCTGCACGACCACTCTTAGCCCCGCTGGTCAGCTTCTCTGCAAGAGGTACGCTCGCTCTGGCCCCGTCTCAAAGCACCAAAGACGGCAGAAGAGGGCTTGTCAGAGCCCATTTGAGAGGGGTCAGTAACTCCTTCCTGGGCCATGAGGAATGCCAGAGGTGGTGCTACCTGTCTGAACCTGGCCGGCAGCATCGCCCCGTAACGTATTGGCCCTGAAGAATCGAATAGGAGCCCCAAGCTCCTTTTGTGCAGCCCTTGCCAATAGGCAGCTTCCAGGAAGGGGCATCGATGTCCCCCTGCCCCCACACTCCTGCCTCACAAAAGTGCCAATTCCCTGCACAATCCTTTTCCTGTCCCGTGTGGCCTCCGGGGCTGGGGGAGCTGCAGAGCCTCCTAGGGAGCCCCGCTGACTGCTCTGTCTCTAAAGGGAACAGCGTGCTGGCCAACACGTCTTCACTGCCAGCTGATCCTCGCTGGGCATGCGGGAAACCACCAGCTTCAGCACCAGTGTTGGCTGCTGCAAGGCCTGCTGGAGATCTTGACTCCAGACCAATGAGCAATAATGACACCAGGGGCTCTGCAGCTGGGACTGTCTCTGGGCTGTGGATGAGTCTGTCCCGCTCACTGCTTCCACTTGTGGCCCTGCCTCAGAGGGGAAGGACAAGGCACCTCCTCGCTGGCTCTCACCTGCCTTCCCGCTTCTCCGAGCACTGATCCCAGGTCAGCCGGTAACACTGCACCGTGGGCACCTGCTGCCCTGCACGGTTCCCCTGTCGTGTTAACAGACCACGATGTCTGGGTGGAGTCGGTCTCTGGCACAGCCCTGGCTCCGGTCACAGCAAACCCATCTGTTCCCAACTCCTGGTTTGTCTGAGACGGTAGCTGGTAAAATACCCCCCACTTGCACTGCTAAGAGGCTCTTCATTTGGGAAACAGTTCTGTTCCCTGTAGCAGGCCAGCTGACCCAAGGGGGATGCAGCTCTCTGGTTTTGTAGCCTCTGGGGATGGGAACCAGGAATGCCACCTTCACACCAGGCCTCTCAAGTCCTTGCTTACGAGGTGGATGTGGTGCAGAAATCCAATTTTGAAAGGGGGCAGTATTGGTTACCACCAGGCCTGGCGGGTGGTCTGGATGTGGCGAACACTAACCCTGAACAGCCCCTGGCTGGACTCAAGCAGTTACGTGGATGCAGGGGCATGGACAGATGGGCGGTTTTTACTATTGGGAGGATGGGGGCTTACTGCTCGCTCATCGGTGCACAGTGGCTGAGCTGCCATCGCCATGGCGTCTGTCTGCTGCTCTCCTGCAGCAAGCGAAGCTGCACTGCAACAATTTTGACCCCCAATGAAACTGGAGGTATGTTCCTGCAGTTGAGCTTCTGCTTACCCTGGGACAGCGCAGACAGATTGCAGCTACGGCCAACTCAGCTGAACTGCAGTAAGGCCCCATCTCTCCTCTTTCCTGTTTCATCTGTCCATGGCCTGTGTCCCTTGTCCCTTCATGGAGGCTGCTCTGCCTAGTGCAAGCCATCAGGCCAACTCATTTTATAGGAACACTCTTTGTTCTGATCGGGTTTTATCATGTTTTCTACTTCCTTCCAGAGGCAATTTTTTGCTCTTTTAAACAGCTGTTTCTACACGTGGCTGTGTTCCCAGGAGAAATCTACACCGTTTTAATTCACTTTGAATCTTTCTAAGTTGGGATGAGTTTTAAATGTCTTATAAGCTATTTTTTTTTAAATTGCTGATTGATACAACACAAGTAGGAGGGCACTTGCAAATCACCCCAAGAGAGGGGCTGTGAGGCAAGGGGCCGCTGGGAAGGCGTTGGCGTATTATGGATAACAGAATATTGGTATTTCTTGCCAGTACAACTAAAGACACTTGAATGATTCCTGTTTGCACTTAATGCTACTGTTATATCGCATGTCACTACATTTCTATGCAAAAAAACAAATAACCTTTTTGGGGCAGCCGGATGTTTTGATTTAAATAAGTTTAAAGATCTTTGCCAGATGACTATCTATTTTCATATTTATGAAGGAGTTTTACGTCTTAATATTTTCCAGTCTGTAAATAGCTAAACTTGTAATTAAAGGCTTAGGGAGAAGTTTGTAGCCTGTGTATAATAATAAGTTAACACTGCCAGGAAGAAATCTTTGCAAAACAACTTTTCTGATATTGTGGATATTTATGAAGCTGTAAAGAAAGCAAAACGTGTTTTTAATGTTGATTGCTCTCCCGCTCAGGCACGGATGTCTGTGTTGTTGGAATCACAGTAAGAAGTAACCAAAGATGAAGCCAGCAAAATATTTTCATAATTTTTTTTCTTGGTCAGTTTTTTTGTAAACTGTTTCCCAACTTGCTTTTAAAATAAAAAGAAAACCAAGCGCCGGCTCCTGTCCAGGTGAAAGCTGCTCTTCCCCCTCACCCTCCCCAACTCATCACTGGTGTTTATGGTCCAAGAACAAGCAGGTTTCAGCTTGCATTTGTCTTTGAAGTGCTGAGGCCTTTGAAGGGCTTGGTTGCCTCTATGCAGGACTGACTTGTGCGGCTTCCTGCATACAAGCTGCCCTGCTGTACCAGCAAGCATGGGAGAGCCTGGGCTGCCCTCCTCTGAGTCTGGTTAAACAAAGACCCTCCTACTGCAAACATAGATGCTTCAGTGTTTAAGAATGGGGAGGAAGCCACGTGGCCCTGGCTGCTTCACAGCAGGAAGTGTCCCTGCTGCTGAGCTCAGGGGCTAGGCTCTGGCTTTACAGCTCAGCTCATTACAGTGGGAGAGGCTGAGGGAACTGGGCTGATTTAGTCTGTAGAAGAGCAGACTGAGGGGGATTGAATTGCAGCCTTCACCTTCCTGAAAGGGGGTTGCAAAGAGGATGGAGCTGGACTGGTCTCAGTGAGGGCAGATGACAGGAGCAATGGGCTCAAGCTGCAGCAAGGGAAGTTGAGGTTGGATATTAGGGAATACTCTCAGCCCAGGGGTGAAGCACTGGAACAGGTTCCCCAGAGAGGTGGTGGAGTCTCCATCCTTGGAGGTGTTTAAGTCCTGGCTAGACTATGCAGCTGGGGCTGGTCCTGCTTGGAGCAGGGGTTGGACTAAATGCGACTCCTGGGCTCCCTTCCAGCCCTTATGATCTAGGACCCTATGAACTACCTGTAGGTTGGTGTCAGCTGAGCCCACTTGTCATCCTGCTTTCCTGGGGGACCTTCCTCTGGTAGCTGGGTTTGTTCACATGGGCACAGGTCTTCCTGCCTGCTTTGTTCCTTATCTGCGGCACTTCATGGAGGTGCGGCTTGGGCCAGAGAGTCTGTGTTCAGGGGGACCCAACTCCAGCTCTGCCTTCAGCCAGACACACACAAAGTGGTTCAATACGTGTACAGTGCCAGAGCTCCCTCTCCCCTGAGGTCAGAGTCCAAGCAGCTGGTTACCAGCCCTAGGAATTCCTGGCACAGCAGCTGGGTGCCTCAAGCAACTTTGCCAGTCAGTGGCTGCTGGGGCCCTGCCTGGCACTTCCCAGAGTGCCCCAAGAACACCACTGCTCCCTGCCTGCATTCCCACAGGCTCTGTGGGGAAGGGCACTTGAGCAGCTGGGAGCAGGGATGGCCCAACTCCTGGCTGAAGCAGCCACCCCCTTTCCCTTCGTCCTGGGGGCCCCTACCTCAGGGCAGGGGCCAGCGGATAAGGCGGCAGCAGTGATCCCCAGTCCCAGGCAGGCCCCACTCAACCCCCCAACCTTCATGAAGCTTTCACCTTGGCCTCAGGAGCCTGTGAGAGTTCTCCAAAGAACCAAGCTTGGGCAGACTGCTCCTGCCAGCCCAGCAGGCTCTTACCTCAGCTGCTTTCTTGGCAGGAAGCAGCCTCATGTCACCACCAGTGAAACTCCAGGTGCAGGCTGAACACAGGCCCTAGCCCCCAAAAGCTCCATGCTTGAGGTCAGCCAAGGCTGGCACAGATCATGTACTGCCCCAAAGGACAAGCATGAGGGGCTTTGGGGGAAGAGCAATTTAATTGTCCTGGCATTAAACAAGAACAGGATGGTCCCTCCCCACACCCCACAAATTGTTCATGGAGTCAAAGCCTCAAGCTTCTGGAGGGAAAATGAAAGAGCTAACCTCCCCCCACCCTTCCCCTGCCCCACACTAGCCACTGGCCCAGGCCAGCTTCATCTTCTGGCAGTGAGCTTTGGAGGACTTGGAGAACAAGCTCTTCACGATCTGCAGCGGCACCGACTTCCCACTGAGGTACAGCTTGTTGTGACAGTCCGGGAGCCATGGCCCCGACTCGCCAGCTGTCCCTTTCTTGAGCATCCAGACATAGGCCATGATGTAGCCAGTCATGAAGGCATCAAAGCCAGCGCGGTGAATGCCCCCATATGCGGGTGAAGCCGAGGCCTCCGGGGGCTTCCTGCCAGGGGAGCCAGCGGCAGTGTCCAGTGAGCAGTCTTGGGGTGGCAAGGAGCCTGGCTCTGCTGCGCCCTCCTCTTGCTCGCCATGGCAGGCACTCCCTCCAGCAGTTGGTTGCGTGGTGCCCTCCTGCTCCATGGCACTCCCAAAGTCCTCCACCCCGACATCCGCAGTCCAATCCACGGTGCTCTCTGCCTCCTCGCTGGATGCCTTCCCCACGGGATCCGACCCCACTCTGCCCTGCTGGCCCGGGCAGCACTGCTTCCGCGGGGGCCCACCCTCCCCATTGTGGACCCCCTCCACGGCCCCTGGCTCCTCGGGTGCCTTGACAGCCTCCTCCGCATTCTTGCGCCTCTTCCATCTCTGCTTCCGCTTCTTCCGCTTCTCGGCCCGGAGCCGCTCGTCCTCATCGATGATGAGGTCAATGTTGTGGGACTGGGTGCACTTCATCCCATTGGGGCACCATCCGTAGGCCTGGCAGGAGGGAAGGGGGAGACATTAGCACAGCCTGTAGAGCAGGAGGAACCTCCCGTTCCCCTACAGTTGCAGCCCGACTCCAACCCTCCTCTTGGGGCCAAGGGACAGCCAGGAGGCCCCATGAAGCCTCACTGATCACCTGAAGTTGAGCAAAGCTGTGACTCCAGGGAGTCAGTTTACAGCTCTGCAGGCCACGGACAGCAAATGATGCTGGTCAACTAGTAGCAGGTGCTGGGGGGTCTCTTGCAGAGCCTGTCCCAGGCCAACTCTCCCTGTCCTCAGAGCCTGGCCCGGGCAATATGTATTCCTCGCAGTGGGGGGTGGCCCTGGCATCCAGAGAGGGCCACCCCCTCCCAGCAGTCCACGCTCCTGGGCACAGGCTCATTCTGGGCTGCTTGTTTCCACTCCAGCTCTGAAAGACTCTTGACTGCAAGGACTGTTCCTGAGGCATGAGACCAAGTGACCAGAGCTCCCCGTCTGCCTTCCCTGGGCCTAGTCCTTGGACCTGCAGCAAGGGACGGTCGCACGACTCACCGAGAAGGTCTCGCAGACAGAGACCTTGCTGGCCTGGGCTGTGCTGTGGTTGCCGTCCTCCAAGGAGCAGTATCGGTAGTCAATGTAGTGGGCCATGCTGGCGGGGTAGCTGCAGAACTCTACTGTGAGGTGCTGGCTGCTCGAGTCCTTCAGCTTGATGTTCTCCCGCTTGCTGGAATGCACAGAGGTGCAGTGAGGCTCGCTGCTGAGCTCCCCGGGCCTTTCTGGGGCAGGGAGGGGAAACGCTTCACCTGGAGACCATCTCCTCTGCTTCTCAGAAGTTCAGCCCAGGCTTGGGAAGGTCTCCAGGGGGGAAGCCACCTTTTAGCAGTTAAGTCTGTCACCAGGGTGAATATTCAACAGCTCCTGCTTCTCATACCCAGTGAAGGGTCCTCAGGGAGCATCCTGCCTGGGTATGGCTTGACCAACGAGGCTGGGGGTGCTGGGCAAAGCTGGCAGGGCAGGTCCAGCCTGGTGACAGCCAGGGATGATGCAAGGGAGCCGTATGTCAGCAAGTGAATGGGTCCAGAGTGGGAGACCCCCTTGGAAAGGAATGCCAGGGAAACCCTCAAATGAGGGCTGGGCAGGGAGGCGTGGTGGTCCTGCCCAGCTCGGTCAAGCCTGTGGGACAGAGACTGCAGGGCGACAGCAAGTCAGGTCTGCAAGTGCTGAAGCCAGCCCTGCCTGTTCACAGAGGGCTTCCCCCATCTCAAAGCACCCGATGGTTGCAGTTGGGGAGCACAGGGTTCCACAGGCGCAGAGCCAGGACTCTCTTCCTGGGGGAACTCGTGGGGCTGCCTGCTGCAGGTTGCCTGTTCTAGGGCCCTGCTCCTGCTGTAGCCAGAACTGTCTGGAGAGGGCAAGAGATGGACCAGGCTACTTCCACCTCCTGCCTGCGGGAGTGCATGCTACCTGGGCAGCAGCACGTCCCCATTGCTTGGGAAGCTGTCAGTCAGGCTCTGAACTGAAGCACAAACCACAGTTGTGCCTGGTGCATCACTGTGACGGAAGCACTGTACTTGCATGTGGAGCTCTCCTGCCCCTCCCTGGAAATCCTGGGGATGGATGGGCCCAGCTAAAACCTCCACCTTCCTGTTGCCCGTTTCCTGCCCAAGCTGCATGCACTGGGGCTAACACATTACCCAATGTGTTCGGGCTGGGGCCTGAATGCTCAATGGAGACCCATAAGGTACAGAACGACACCAAGCACTCTGTGCCCTCCCCCAACACCCGCTAGGGCTCCGCGTACCACTTCTTGTAGGCATACTCCAGGTAGGAGGCCACGAAGCGGGTCTCAAACTCGGAGGCATACTTGGTGTCATAGATGCCGGCAGGGAACATCTCCGAGAGGTCGGCAGTGAAGGTGCCCAGGCTGTCAGGGAGGTGGGCGTAGAAGCACTGGTACAGGAACACCAAGTCGATGAGCCCGTTGTGCAGGATCAGGGGTTTCTTGGCCCGGATCAGCTCCAGGAAGAAGGACCGCACGCTCTGGCTCTGGTTCTCATTGCCCTGGGAATGGGAGTGCTCCGATTAGCCCCATGCTACTCCTGGCTGTGCAGAGGCCTGTCCCTGGTAGGGGCCTGGCTACACGTTCAAATTCAAGCCAGCTTGGAACTAGCTATAGCAGCGTTGCACGTTTTCAACCACTAGTTTTGTAGCAGGTTAGCGCTCTTTAGAGCTGCACTGTCATTTTCATGGGGTGATGATTATTTTGCCCATGAGGCTGGTCTAAATGTATTGTGCGATTCACCAGTTAATTGTGTAATATATGAAATATGTAGCAGGGGCCTACGAAACCTCAATGGCATCTGTCCCAGGGGGTGGGAATGGATCCTTCCAGCACAGGGCAGCCTGGGGCCATGCTGCAGTCAGGCACCTTTCCCAAGCAGGCACAGATGGGGGGCCCAGATTCAAGTCCCCCCTGTACACTGGCCTCACGATGGCTGGGGCTTCTTGGACCTGCTTGAAGCAGGCTCCCCCCAGCCCTCTGCAGGTGCTGGAGATATAGCCTCACCCTTGAAGCAGGTCTCCTGCCAGTTACCATGCTGTGAAGGGGGCTGAGGACAGGAGCCCACCAGGTCACCAGTACCTTGTCATTGCCCTTGTGGTAGGGGATGCCCTGTGAGTACTGCTTGTTGAAGTCAAAGCCGTGCTGCACCAGGAACTGCACCGACTGCGGCTCGATGACATAGTCCTCCATGCACAGCAGCGTCAGGTTGTAGATCTGCGACAGGTAGGTGTTCTCCGACTGTGGGGATGAGCAGCAAGGACTCAGCCTGACTACAGAGCCCCATGCATCCTTGCCTGCCCCCCGCCCCCACGTACCTCCGATTTCAATGGGACCTGATACTGGTTTCTCTCAATAGGAGTGTTCATTTCCTTCATCAGGCCCTTGCAAACCCCCCAGCACACACTTCTCCAGGACATCAAGAACTGGAGGCAGTGTCTAGCACAGCCTGGGAGGTCCCAGCCCCAACCTACCTTTTCTGGCAGCTGCTTGAAGCAGGCGATTCCCAGTGACAGGACAGAGCGGGTCTTGGCAGCATTGCAGACGGCTTTGTATCGCTCCTCGATGCACCTGGGCGAGAGGGGGTGTGAGGCATCACTGCAACAAGCAGCTGATCCCAGGAAGCACTGGCAGGATGTTCTCAGGGTGAGAAATGCCATGCAAGGCAGAGATGCCCAACTGCTGAGGTTTCACATCTACGTAACCGACCAAAGCTGCATCAGCCATGAAGAGGGACAAGATCCTTGCTCTCCCCCTCCACGCTCTGATAGAGCAGGCACCTCCACTTGCTGCTGCTCCCACCTGTTGCCTGGTCACTAGCATGTGCCATCTCCTGCCCGGGAGATGGAGCTGTCCCAGCCCCAGCCCCAGCCCCAGCCCCAGCCCCAGCCCCAATCCCTCCATCCCCAACGTCTCTTCCCTCCCCTCTCCCCCAACCCCAACAGACTTACCAGC